AAGATAAATCTATACACTCCCCATATAGTTTATACGCTTATTAGTTCCTTGATCGGTTTTGAAGCTTTCGTCACCAAAATAGGAGGACCCATCGGCCGATGTTATAATGTCGCATGTGTCTTGTCTTTTTCTTAATATATTTTTAACTCATAACTGTTAGGAGTTCTTGGTTACTACCTAAGTTTAGGGTCAATTTCTTTTTCCTACTTCTCTGGCACATTATGCACCAGAGGGTCGCTTTGGCACATCACAGAGTCCGATGCAGGAGAGCCACGTATGGGTTGAACTCGGCCAACGAAGTTAGCCAGAACTTAGACACCTTAATTGTTGTTTAATGGGCTACTTAAACATTCAAGTCGTATTCAGCCAATACTACTACCCATCTGGTCTACTCTGGCTTGTCAAGATCTCCTTGCTGCACAGGGACTTGATTGCTTCAAAAATGCTCAGTCAGTACCATAATGTTTGTGGGCTTAAAAGAAAATCCCACATAGATTCAGTTTTTTTTTCGAAAAAATAGCCATCACTAGGCCAGATTGTCATTTTTCCAAGGGTAACCGTATCCTGTGTCTCTGCACTTGCTAAGCGTTGTGAACTACACTATAAGTATAAAATTCTGCCATTTTCTCTCTCTTCTCTTCTCTGATTACCACTAGCACTCTCACTGCCGCTTGCTCTTGAAATCTGTTTAAAGTATTAGGTTGGGTCCGGATCAATTACTCCCTCTAAGCACTGGGTTTGACAACTGCGAGCTGTTATCACGTAACTTTTCAAGTTGGCCAAGGCAAACTTCGCACTTCTTTGTAACCACAAAATAATCTGTGGCCTTCTTTAACAAATAAAAAATGAATGTTATCAACTTATATCGAACGTTCTCGCTCATAAACCTATTCAGGGCTGGCAAGCCCTTCCCAGTTCAACATCTGTAATTTGTTTTGGCCGATGTCAGGCCTTTAAGTCAAGTGATGGCCTGATTGATAGGGCTTGCCAAATATAATGCCTTGACTTTTGGTTCACCCAATTGTTTACCCTCTAGGAAAACTTATCGGTACCCCATACTCTCGCGAATGCACATTTCGAAATAATTGAGTCAGAGCAAGATATGTTCTAGGAATGTTGAATGACTAGCTGCATCTAAGTCGGAGTTTATAAATCCAAGAGTTGGATTTTATATCTTTTGGTTCATCTTCAATTGATCCATCGTCATCACTGTACACTTTCACTGTTTTTGCCAAATCAGTATGTCTGCACCAATCTTGGTCACCAACCTACTGGTAGGTTTTACTCCTACATTTTTCAACTCGAAAAGGCATCACTCTGTAGCAGTACAGACCTTTTACAGGGTGATAAATGTCCAGTTGGTCTCCTTGTCAGGTTCAATTGGGGGATAACGTCGCTATCTGGTTGGTATCCCCTATAAGCATCTAGGAAGCTCATCATTTCATGCCTTGAAGTGGCATCTACCAGCGATTTGATCAATTGGGATTAGGATAGAGGAACAGCTAATCTTTTAGGGCAAGCCTCACTTGCAGGCAGGTGTCGCAACAGTTCCCTACAGCTAGCAAGACCCAATTACAAACTTGTCCGTTTCTACTTCTTCACGGTACCAATCAGTGCCTGATAGCCAAGTGGTTGTATGTTCACTCAACCGCTGAAATGTTGCTTTTGGCTTTCTAGTCAGTGTTGTCCACGGTTGCTCTACTCACTTGCTGTCCACATGAACCAACGTCGCCTCAAAACTTGCCAGCCTGAAATGCACCGGTTAAAGTCGACCTGTCTAACATAATAAGTCTACATGGGCAAGTGACCTTCGAGGTTAATGTCTCAGAACATCTCGTTATAGCATACTAAGGCAAAATTTCCATGTTGCGGTTCGCAAAAAATGCCTCTCAAACTCCCTTATTCCGTCATTCTCGGCCAAGCCTGAGCGCTGAGAAGAAAGAAAAGACGGTCTCATCCCTAGTTGGACCAGTTGGCAGTATATTTTTCCTTTAATGGCTTCCCTCGCTCTTCTTGGATTCGATTCCTTCATTCTTCTGAGGTGGTCTATCTGTTTCTGCTCTACGCACGTTGCAAGTAAGGGTTCTTGCTACTATATGAAGCAATTCTTTGCTGCACCTGATCTCCTCTGACCTCCCCTCACTCCATACTCAGTTAGGAACCAACAACAGTTGATGCAATGTTGAGCGATAACCCCCGTTGCGTACACATCCATGGCCTTCCAATAATTAATAATTATAAGGTGAGGGGGTGTCAAATATACTGTTAAACTCTTTGTGTGCTTAATTACCTTGCGGCTGGAGGGCTGCTTGCCACCTTTCCAAATTTTATTGCTTTCCCAAGGGCCATGTCGGCATTCCCATTAAACTCGACCATTGGGCTGTTGACTGGGCTCCATTAAATCAGTTTTCGGTATATGGCTAAGCTGCCTTTGTAACATTTGGAACATACATGAGTCACAATAACTTTGTCCACTTGTCGGTCGAT